AAGTCCAGCAGCCCTGCAGAGGTCACCTGAATTCCCAGAGAATAGGCACAGGAGGAATTTGAAAGATTTATTAAAGTACAAGGCTCTTTCTCAGAGCTCTCAGGGAGAGAAAACTCCTAAAACCAAAACAATTGCTGTGTAATAACAGCATACCCTTCAGGACATGTGCCTGTTACTTGAAAAAAACTTCTCTTTTAAAACCTTTCTCATCCAAGTCCTCACTGTAACAAATGGCCCTGTGACTTGGGCTCAGGGTCCTTTTCCTCAAGCCTCTCCACACAAACTGCATGGTGCTTAAGTGGTATCTTCTACTAAAAAAAAAAAAAAAGTCATCTTTGATTTAGTTAGCCAAGGCATCAAATTCAGTGTCACCTTGCCTCCTTCTCCCTCACCTCACACTAACTATTATGTCCTGTTTAAGCAGACTTCTAAAAGGCATCTTTTCTTCATGTCCACTGCCACATCTATGCAGTGTCTCTCCTCTGTCTGAAGACTACATGGCAAGTGGAGAGGGTGGTGCCAGTGTCAAGATGTGGACTATATTTCAATGTAGTTATTTCAAGAGCACAACAGACACTGTTATAGGTGTACATTAATTATACTGTTGGGGCTCTCTGGAACGTCCCCCTCCTTTTGTGCCCACACCATCTTTTCAATTGTAGGTTAAATGTCACTGAAGTTGTGTCTCCCAGGAAGACTTAGTTCTCCTCTGCTTTGTCTTCTGTTAGAGTACCTCTTCTTTTCAGTTAAATATATTTTTTATTTTTAATAAATTGGACATATGCAATGGGCGTTAGCCTTTAGACGTCACAACTCATGACATTAATCTTTTGGATAGCCTTGGGCCTGTATAGCAGTTGCTCAATAAATGCATGCCCAAAAGTCTGTATATGACATAAAAGAATAAAAATGCTCCTAGTTCTTGCTGTCGGAGAATAATTTATTTGTGTTCTTTCTCCAACAGAGAGAATTTGGTTTGACTTTCAAAAGTGTATTCTAACAAGATAAAAGAATGCATCCCTTTTGCCCTTTTAGACTGACCTCTTGAACCCAAGGCCAACTTGCTCAAATTAAGTCAGCTGATATGATTAATGTTAGGAAAGTAATGAGATTTGGTTTACTTCAGGAAAATTTGGAAGAATATGAGTCTTATGCAATATTTTAACATTTTAATTCATTGCTGACTCTACAGGGCAAAGGGGAACATAACCCTTGGTCCAGTTTCAGGATGATAAATTGAGGATTTTTCTAACAAAGAAGAGGATAAAAGATGTCTTGCTTCTGCTATACTAAGGAAAGTTGCATTTATATGTAAAGTAAGTAAATTCAGTGCCATGGCAGTTGCTATTTTGCTAAAAGAAGAGATTTGCATCATTATACTGTTAGTGGCATTTGCTAAGACAGAAATTTTAAATTAATTATTAAATACCTATTCTATGCTGTGAGTAATATGATTTGAGGCAGGTGTCAAATGTGATGCTTATCCTGGCACTGAAGTGCTTAATATCTACTTAGAATGTTTAAAAAAAGGAGGCAATACATGTCTCCTGGAAAAAAACAGGGCAGGAAAGTAATTGTTAATAATTCAAGTAGGTGTGAAGAACATAGAATCAGTCTAGGAATTCTAGAAGTAGGGCATCATGAAGAGAAGCACTTAAAATCTTAGTGTTCCTTATGTTCTCGTGGATGATACACTGATATAACAGAAAAATGGGATTTTAGGCTGAATAGTCAATAAGGGGACCCTTTACAGAGGACTCATTTGCCACCCAGGAAAAGAGAATGGGACACTTTAATGAATCAGAGGGAGGTAGTATAGGTTCTTAGGCAAGAAATCTGATGAAAATAGAAATATCAAAGTAATATTTAATAGTTGTAAGATGTTATGGATTTGGAAGGGTCTGGAGGTGGGCCAGTGAATTGGGACAATGTTATATGAGTTTGGAGAAATTTTACTAGCTATATTGTTGACCTAGTTTTTGTAATCTATTTTGTTTACAGTTTCTCAATCTTTTATTATTCCTCCACTCTAGGTTTAGTTGGGGAGTTACTAAAAGTCCTCATTTAACTATGACAGATGTAGTTTTAGTAGCCACCATGAAGGAAGGAAAGAATGAAGCACTGTCTTTTGTCCATTTAGGCTACAGATAGCCAGGCCACTAGAAGTTCTCGAGTTTTCCTTCTCTCACCTGGAAATAAGACAGTGAACAGAATGAGCTCTAAGGCCCTTTCAGGTCTACTTTCTTAAGATAAGTGTTCATCTTATTATTGAGCATCTTAAGTGTGTTATTTTGATGCATACCAAGAAGAGTATTTATTGGAAACTAAATTTGGTGAAATATTCCACCCTCTTATAGGATAGGTGGTAGGATCTTGATGACTATAGTACATAGGCAATTACCTTTTCCAAGAATGTGTTAAAATATAGAAGAAAATAGCAGAAAATTAACCCTTGTAAATGTCACAATTTGCCTACTGTATAATTTAAATAGTTTAAATAAAGCTACTTATTTGCATAATGATGCATTTGAAAGATATATCTTAAAATAACAATACTATGCATTTATTTGATATTAAAACAAAAATAACAAGTATAAATTAGTCTGGGAAAGATGTCATGTAACAGTATAATTAGGTATACTAATAAACATGAGCTATCACTTATTAAGCTAAATTTAGCATGAAAGTTTATTTCAAGGTAGAGAGCTATATTTTCTATTTGACTTTTTTCCTATTTTTATTTTACAAGCATTTATTCATTGTCATTAGTTTGTTAACTTACTATTATCTGTACATGATTATATAAGACAGATGTCTTAAAATAATTACCTTTTTAGAATGACTTATCTAAATTGAAGTCTAAATTTGATCACTGTTGGAAATGATTTGTAGGAAACACTTTGTCAAACATCAGAGCACTAGAGAAACACCAAAGATAAGAATTTCTAATGCCATAAAACCTAACAAACTATTACAATGTCTAGACAGAGTCCAAAAACATGGTAAATAGTTTTTGATAAATTAGTTTTATAAATCAAACTAAACATTTGATTTGTTTAAGTGTCACTTAATCTTCAAACCAATGAAATGATGTATGGCATGAGTTTTAGTTATTTAAAAGACAAAGGAGAAAGGACTTTTTAGCCCTTGGACTTTTTTCCTTGATTCAACAAATATTTAAAAGACCCAGAAAAAAAGGTTTTTATTACTCTATTCTGTGAAACAGTGTCATTGTAATCACTGGTGAGTTTGGTAAAAATTCAGATTCTGGGAGTTTTCTGTGGATACATATAGTCTCTGTGTTAATATCTGAGTTTTGGGGTGTTTATTGTGCATATGAAACAGACTTTTCTTGGTGCTTTTTTCTTACCCCTCCTTGCAAAATATTTATCTCATTTGATAATTGGTATTGGAGAGCAAAGTCCTGAATTTTAAGATTGAAGAACAGGACTGTTCTCAGGTGTATAGAAAGAAATAGAGATGCCAGTTGTTTCATTATATATTAATGAGCTTTTCCATCTTCATTTCTGCTTGATATTAAGAAAGATTACAAAAATACATCCTTTAAAATTATCCAATTCTATGGGTGGTCTATGCATTTATGCTATATAAAACAAAGAATTACATATTGGAAAATATTGTTTTACTTTTAAAACACATATTTTCCCAGAAGGGATTTTCCCATAATTTGACCTTAAAATCTTTTTTTTCCCTTCACAGACATTAAATTCATTTTCAAACTCTATAGGATTCATAATCTTCTTAATGCTTAATAAAAATTCCAAATATTCCAGCATTAATTTTCAAGAGAGTGAAGCAACTGTTAAGAATATTGCTTGTTAGCCAGTTGTAGTGGTGCACTCCTGTAATCTCAGTGGCTCTGGAGGCTGAGGCAGGAGGATCTCAAGTTCAAAGCCAGGCTAGGTAACAGTGAGGAGCTAAGCAACTCAGTGAGACCCTCTCTGTATATAAAAATATAAAATAGGGCTGGGGATGTGGCTCAGTGGTTGAGTTTCCCTGAGTTCAAACCAAAAAGAATACTTCTTTTTAGGCTCAATATTTTTTTTCCCAGTAAATCCTTGACATCACTATCCTTTACATTTACATATAGTCATTAAATTTTCCTTTGACAAAAATATCTGTTTCTTTTCTACCCCCAAATGAATTGCAAACATTGCAGTGATCATAAATGGAGATGGTCTCCACTCTGCAGTAGTAGCTGTCATCATCTACTTTGTTGCAGGGAACATGTCTTAAAGCTAAGCGTTTCTCATGACCTATGTGAGTTTGCATGTTGAGTGCTTGTCAAGTTTTATTAGACCTGGAGTGCTGAAATAGAAAAAAAAATTATATTTATGAATTTAGACAGCTTCATGAGAACCAAGGTTCTCTTGAATCAGAATTTTAGACTTAGGCATCAATGATTTACTGCCTTCTTTAATGTCTTAATTCAGCGATAATCATTTGTTCACATCAACAGGGGTCTGTAATTATCATAAAGTAAGTTGGTGTTCAGTTCTTATTTTTGGCTTCTTACTTGCCTCAAAGGACTCATATAATTAATTGATGAATGCCAATGTCTTTAATTCAAATTCCTTCCCCCCTCCTAATTATCTTTTTTTTTTTGCACTACCTATTTTGCACTAGTGTTCCTTAGTATAGTAAAGCTTGTATTTCATAAAGGAAGAAGCTTCATATGTTCTAACAATCTAATTTTACCGTGTGGCTTTGTAATGCACAGTGATTTCCATAGGCATCAATTTCTCCCACCTTTCTGTTCCCCTTTACCATTTTCAGAATGTGTTGATAATGGTTACATAAATTTGAAGCTTTCTATCTAGCAAATTCTTTAATCCCTGGGGAAACTCAAAGTATTAAGAGTGATGAATCTGACTATGGTGAAGTCTAGTAAGAATTGCTCTTACAATCAAGATGATTCAAGGGAAGACAATTTACTTAGCTTTTTATGTATCTTGTCTCTTTTCTTCCTGACTCGACAGCTCCCCCAACGGTTCGTATTGTGCACTCAGGCTTGGCCTGTAACATTGAGGAGGAGCGCTACTCTGAAAGGGTCTACACTATCCGGGAAGGAGAAACGCTGGAATTGACTTGTCTGGTCACAGGACATCCACGTCCACAGGTGAGTCCCGAACTGTGACATTGGAGAAAAATTCTATGACCTTTATTGGAAGTCAAAAAGTATATATTTTAGAAAGTTAGGTACATCTGTGTGTGGGTGGGTATGTGTGTGTGTGTGCATACTTGAGTGTAACTCAAGTGCAAGTTCATGTGCAATACAGAAAAGAGTGGTCATCTCTTAACATCCAAACAAGTATTCATGTGCATGAAACAAAACAAGAAATCTTTGTTCTATATTGTGAGAAATTTAAAAGACACATCTAAGGAAGCTGTTAAAAAGACAACTACAAAAATAACTCCACACAATAACAATTCATATGGCAATGAGCTTATTTTAGAATGTGGAACATGATTTCATGATGACATAATTGCAGCCAAGGAGGCATTTGTTCTGAAGAATGTGATGCATGAGGTCACATGTACCTTCCTTATTCCTAGTCATTATATTCATAGAGAACTTTTAAAAAAATAAATGTTTGCAGGTGCTATGTGCATTCAGGCTTTCAGAGTCACCAGCTTCGTGCTTCCTAAAACCAATTTAATAGCAGGCACAAAAATTGAGACCTTCAAAGGGTACTAAAATTACCAGTAATATGCAAATAAAAAACTTGCAGGAGCAAAAGAAAGGGCTACATATGATGTAATCTATTTAGGTTACATATTTGTGTATAATGAAGAAATCTAATTTAAATAAAGAATATTCAGGATGTTTTACTCATTAATTAACAATTCTTATCATTACAGCTTTAACCTGACAAGTTGAACATTCACATTGACAATCAACTATGGCAGGGGAAAAATTCTCACTTAGTAAAATTAAGAAAAAACAAAAAACACAGCTGTAGGAGGAAAATGAAGAACAATGTGGGAATTTCACAGATCACCATTTTAACTTTTCTTTTGCTTCTTGCATACTCAAATCTTAATTTTTAAGGATATTTTGATCCTATTGTATTGACCCTGGAAAAAAAATGAAAGAAAGCATACTATTCTCCACAGAATGAAACAATATATAGATAGATACAGAGAACCACAGACAGACAAGATCATGGTTCAAATGGAAATGGTAAAATACATTTTATAAAATTAATCCTGTTGGTAAACTGGAAAGTGATAAATCTAAAAATTATTTAAAAAATCAAAACTCACAAGAACTAAAATTATAAATGATAATATTTGCTACTAACAGAAAATGAGTTAAAAAACGGCATTCTCTTAATAAAATTAGATTCTACAAAACTTGACCTGATATAATCAAAGTTGGTAGGAAAAAAAGATTCTGTAATAAAACACACAAAGACAAAAGCAAAAATTATTAAAATTGATACAAAGGAATTGATAAGTAAAGCAGTTTTGTCTAAATATGTATACAGAAACAATTGAGTCCAGTGAAAATAATTTTATTTAAATTAAGAAAAATTATAGAATTAACTTGAATATTAGCTCAGAGAAAATTCAGTAGTCCTATAATTTATCATTATTTAAAATTTGAAGACATGAAAATTCTAAAAGAAAAATTTGGAATAAAATAGGAGGGTCCAAATTAAAGAAGCCACAAGGAGCTTTATAATAGGCAGTTTACAAGAGAAGACTCACTGAAACTCCCGTTATCCCCAATATTCTCACACTGAATTTGTGAAACCTGCTCCTTTAGATCCCAAATTTCACTTTTTTTAAAAAAATTTATTTTTTAGCTGTAGTTGGACACAATATCTTTATTTTATTTATTTATTTTTATGTGGTGCTGAGGATCGAACCCAGGCCCTCACACATGCTACTTGAGTGCTCTACCGCTGAGCCAGAATCCCAGCCCTAAAAATTGGACTTTTTATCTAACTTTTCCCAAGACTTTCTCTCTCTTCATTTTTATTCCTTCTTAGTATCAGAATTTTCTTATTTTCTCTATCAACACTCACAATCAGGAGTACTATCTTTGATCTCCAGATGATCCAAAATAAGTTCTGGAACAGAAGAATAGATCATTATTTTTTTTCTTATGCATTTTCATTTTGGGAACTATTTCAATGTGTTTTGATCCTAAGAAAGACATAATGCTTCAGTATCATTATTTTTTTTCATTCCTAGAAGTAATTCTGGTGTTTGCAGGTAAATCCGTTTCAGCTTATATTGCCTGTTTGAAAAATTAACTGGGCCTCTTCTCGGTTAAAAAACTGTGTAAAAAAGGATGACAGCACAGCTGGGGCTTGGCATCCTGGCCCAAGACTAAAGGGCATGCTTTTGGCAGCTGGTCCTGAGGATGATTTTTCCTGGCTGATACCATGAAGCTTTATGACTTGCTTACTTTTCTAATCTGAGTGTGATAATACTTGGAAACACTGTACAAGGGAGAAGTTTCACCTCTCCTCATCACAGTATTTCTCCATCTGCAGCCTATTCCTATGGCCATGAGAGTCACAGAGATTGTCTACTTCTAGAACTATTCTATGGCAACATTTCTTTCTAGGCTCTTTAGATTTTTCTTTCAAAAATATGTTGTTTGGTTATGGGCAGTGCCCGAGGGTTTGATGTATCTAAGGGATAGAAGTGTAAAGTCCATGTAATAAAGTGGTTAAGAGCATGATGTTGGAATCAGCCTACCTGCACATAACCTTGGGTTCCCGACAACCAACAGTGTGTATGACCTTAATGTTTCTGCTCTCTGTGCCTGTTTTCTTACCTGTATAATAGGAATTCTAACTATCAGAATAATTTTGATGAAAATTTATATTATAAATATATGTATATACATGGGTAGAGTCTTATTACATTTGAGAAAATAAATTACATTTTTGTTGTAATTTAAATTTGAACTGTTTAATCACTAGTCCGTTTGATCATTTTCACATGTTTATCAATCATTATTACATATTTGTTTATTGGTTTTTCATATTTTCTATTTTTCCCTAGTGTGCTGATTGTCTTTGTTTAGACTCTGAAGACTTTTATATACCACATAAATAAATTTAATTGCTGAGAAATATGTTGCAAGTTTTACTTGACAGGGTGCTGTCTTTAACACTGGTTATGCTATTTTTGTTCAAGGCTTAGTTTTTACTAGTTGTCTACTATTTATTGTACCTTATCCCTAGTAAATGTTTGCTTTTTTGCATAATAAATAGGCAAGGCCATCTTTCAATTTTATAATACAATCACAATGAGTCATTTAATTACTATATAAATATGATCTTGACTAGCAAGGCTTTTGTAGTCATTAAAGTTTTTATTCTTGTTAATCCTCTATACAGATTCCAAAATGATAATCTTACCAGTAATAAAAATCTTAGCAAACCCTGGTAGCCAATTCTTTATTTTGAAATTATTGGTGCTACCTGTGTATTGTTCTTTGCAAGTATTTTATATGCCTTTGTATATATTTCCATATTATTTTTCAGATTTAGTCTATTAAAATTTCTTTAAAAATTCTAATATATTCATATGAAAAATACAAATACTAGATTTTGGGTTTATGGCTAAATAACTCAGAAAAAAATCAGATTCCACTATTTATCAGAAATTATCAAATAATATATGTACTTTTTATTGTGGATTATGGAACTCAGTATAGCTTACTTTTTATTCATCTGTAATATATATGTGTGAACTGGATATGTCTATCAGCATGTGAGAAAATCTCCAACTAAACTAAATATATTTTTAAAAATTAATATTTAGATATAATATGGGAAGAGTTTAGGATAAACATTCAGAAATTTATTGTCTAATATTCCACATCAATAGCTTACTTTCACAATCTCCCCCTCACCTTGTGTTCACATGCGAGCATGTGTGTGCGTGCACACACACACCTACACACACACTCTTTCTTCTATAGTTGAGACAGATATTTACTAAATTTATGCTAACATGGGTAAATGTAATTATCACAGCTTGTTTAGGAGAAAGCACTTATTGTTTTTTGCTGCTTGATATTGTAACTTCAAATAATTTTGTTTCCATTGATTTTAGTTTAGTATAAAGTTATTTTTTAAAAAAAATCAACACATTTATATACTCAAAAAATTGTAATGTGTTTTACTCTCGATGCATCAAAATTAATCAAGAATTTTAAAAATTTAATTAAAATACTAACAAATACAAAGTCATTTTTGCTTCTCAGGAGATCTAAGCCTATTACTCTTTTTCAAGAATTCATCCTTTGTTGAATTCTGTGTATACCCTTTGTGCCTGAAAGAGACCTCACACATTCTAGAAACTTTCTCAAAAAAATATCAGCACTATGTACTTAATAACATAATACATATAGATTATTTAACTGAGTGCATATAATGTAAATGCTTTATAAATAATAAGCATATTTCTGATTAAGTTATAGACACAAAATATTAGCTTCTTTTGTAAACTCTGTAATTCTAAGTTACTACTGTCTTCAGTATACAATTACAGTTAACCAATAGAGTAGATGGAGTATTCCCCCTTATAATTTTGAAGTTAGCTGGGACCATATGCAAATAGATTTAGGCTGACAAATGATGGGTCCAGATTTCAGTGGTGTTTCTCCAGAAGGTTTTAATATGAAAGCATTCTTACTTGACTTGGGCTTAATTATTCATGAGACTACCTGGAGTCAGTTTTAATATGCTGCTTTGATATTTTTTGACATTCAGACATCATGATGAGTTACATTAAGTAAGGTAGAGATACAGGAACTGCCTTCATAAAATATGAAAAGTGCTCAGAAAGCTCAGAGAGGTGGGAATGTTAACATAAATTTATTATATAGGAGTTATTTTTTAGCAAGTTCCCAAAGGATATTCACTCTGAGAAATGCACTGACCAGATGCAAACTGGCATCTTTTAGAAGCTCAGAGATTACTGTTGACTACAGAAAAGATCTGCAACAGGAAATTGTGCCATGGAAATAGGATCTTTAAAATCAAGATTATAGAATTCTAAAATGGAAGAATGTGGTAGTAGCCCTTCACCAACATTCTCCATGCAGATATAAATGAGCAAAAATGTCAAAGTAGTAGCCAGAATGCT